TACAGCATTAGCACCATTGAGCCACGTGAAAACCCCTCCCCCGTGCAGGATGCCGACCATTTCTTCAGAGGCATACTGGAGCCGGATAAGCAGTCCCCCCATCAGTCTATTCCGGCAGGGGCCAATTTAGAGTACAAGTACACTGGGCCTGTGTCATACACATACAACCCAAATTTTGATGTCAGACGTCAGTTCTTGCACCCGGAGAGGATAAGAGAAACGGTGCTCTATGGCACAGCACCCAGTACTGTTTATGTGGAGCCCAACAGGAACGAGTACTTGGAGCTAAAAGCTAAACTGCAGTCTGAGCCCGATTACCTTGAAGTTCTTGAGAAACAGACCACCTTTAGCCAGTTTTGAGCAGCAAAAATCACTCGTGTAATGAAGCGTTTGCTCTCTCGGCCCTCCTCGAAACGGTGGCTCAGTTCATCGGGTGCCTTGGCACAACACAAAACAGCAGATGCAAAGGAGTTATGACGGGGTGTGCCGAACAATCTTATTATTTCTGAAATATGACATTTACAGGAATGGATACAGCTTTCTGAAACACGGATGAACAAAAATTGCTCCACTGAACTGATGATGCAAATTTTATTTTTCTATGGTGAAGATCGAATAACACAAAAAATGTACATGTACAGGTAAACCTTACCAAGCTTCATTTTCAGGAATATAACCATACAAAAAAAAGTATATTGTGAATCAGAGAAGAAATGTTTATAGAAATCACTCCTGGACTAAAAACACTGTACAGCAGATCATCAAAACTGTGTAGGACTTTTTTCTGCTGTAGTCTGTAAGTAAATATTTATTGATATAATCTGCCATGTCTTTTCAAAACTTTTGATTACACATCATTACTTGTGTCATCATACTTCATCACCCTCTGGAAAGGCTTATGTTTGTAGTTTCATTTACTGTAGCTCTGCATTGTAAAAGTGGCTTTTTTTGAAAGTGGCACACCCCAAATGTTCAAAACGGACTGCATCATTTGAAGATGGAAAAAAAAAAGTGTCTTTGTATGCTTTCTGCACTTTTTGGAATTAGAAGGCAGGTTTGCCTTCAATAAGCTCTCATAAAGGAGATTATTATATTAAAAATGAATATGAGTATTCATTCTTAATATGTAGAATTGATATGTTATCAAAAACTAAATTCATAAATGATATTTGAAGTACTCATCATGTTGTGTAATACTGATATTTTAATCAATGTAACACCTATTTTTATACAAGCATTGGCAGATTCTCTATCCCTCATTAGTTTGTTTTGATTGCTTTGCACTTATTGCACTATATTGACCAAACTATGTTATTGTCATCAAATAAACATGATGTCAGGTTCATAAAATGTGCATTTGAGCAAACTAAAACTGGTGTTGGTGGTATGAGGTTTTCTTTTTACTTTTTTTTTTTTTCTTTTAGGGTTTTGAGATGAGACTTTAAATCTAATCAAAGCATAACACTAACAAGAACTGACAATGTTGTGAACTCAATCAAACCTCGAACGATACCGAATTTACTTCACACACATGGGCAGTTAGTGTCAAAGAGACCTCTTTTGTGCTTATTCCATGATAACTGCATCCACATTGCTTGTTGGTAATTTTATGGTTATTTATGAAAACATCTGATTTGACAACGGATGTGGTTTCGTGCTCCAACAAAACCAGTGGGTGTCAATTTCTGAAAGATTAAGATGAATAGAGACATACAAATTAATTTTCATTTGACTTATTTTATGTGCAAACATATTATAGATGCATTTCCTTGCTTTTAAATATTTAATGAGGAGAATGTTCAGATATTCACCCTTTTTTTCATGTTTAAATAGCTTTTTTTAGATTTTTATTTGGTTGCTTTTTAACTTGACCCATTTAAATCCAATATGTAATGCAGATCTATAAAAATGCTAAGCATGCTGTGTGCTGCCATTTTCACTGTGCAGTCAGCGTTATCATTTAGGAATTCAGCGTTTCCTGAGAGAGACAGCAGGATCGAAGAGAATTATTTGGATTATTGTGAATTTATATGATGCACAGCCCGTTCGGCAAAGATCTGCTGTATGCCTGCTAATTTTCACTCAAAGTCCAATATGGTGCCAGCTGCTTTGCTCAAAAATTAAACACTCTGGGTCCTCTTCTTTAGCTGGATCTTTTCACAGAAGCCCAGAATGATAGCAGAAGGCACCATTTGGGAGATGAGGAGTCCAGGAACCAAGTGTAACTGTGGATGTGTCATACATGTATCAGGGGGGTGTGAATCATAGCCAAGAAGTGTGTGCAGTCGCCCTATGGGGTGGCACAATGCTCAGTTTTTCAACATGGAGTTTCATTTGCTTTTCTGATGCCAATAATGGAAAATGGTTTACTAAGTGTGCACCTGAGCAGTGTGATGACAAAAGTTTGAAATGTGGCACAGATGGCAATCTCAGGTTGGTTATTAAAACTATCCAATTTCCTGGAATACCATATTTTTCTGGATGATTTGACAAAGATCACACAGGAAAGAAAGGCTTGAGCATAATTGCGTAATCACTGAATCATGTGTTCCAAATGGGTTTGTTATTACTGGATGTGTGTTCATGTCTCTCCAGCCTGAACTCTGTGGAGGTTTGCCACTGTTATGACCCAGCTCTGTGTATCACTGTAATGGGTGCATGAAGCACACAGCTGAAGGAGGTTCTAATAGGCTCCAAACAAAAGACCAGTTAAAAAAATTGCAATTAATTACCCAATGGGCTATTTAGGTCTTAGCATAAATGAAAGCATTAAGGAAGGGTAATGTTTACCATACCCTCATGGATAATCCTGGGCGCGGTGTTCAGTAGCTGATGTAGCAGGTTTTCAATGTGTTCACTCACCCAGTTTAAGAGTAACGTGAGAAACAACCAGCTCTTGATCATTTATTTTTTTAAACCTAAAAAACCTTTGGTAAATGCACATTTCTACCTTGGTCAACATTTGTGTTGAGGGAAGGAGAAACATTTTGGATCGTGCTGCTTCACGCTAAACAACAGCCTCGATGGGTTTTTTGGGCTGAACCTATCATGCAGAGACTGATGCAACATAAGGTGTGATGCAGGTGCAGATGAACCCATCTCTCTCCGTGCTCTGCATTCAAGAGGGAGAGTTCTCAGCTCCAAGCTCATCCCAGACAAAGCGGTGGGAGAGACAGTGATGGGCAGTCCAGGGTTCGCTTAACACTTTCTGCTTTCTCACCATTTGAGAGCTAATCAGTGCAGAAGCAGAGTGGGACAACGCATGAAACCCATCCAAGATGCATGAAGTGTTGGCTCATCATGCTGCTATTTTCAGGGCATGGAGTTGCTGGGCAATTATTTCTGAACAGTGCTCTTAAAATAACAGGCTAATTAAAAACTTTTTCTGGATTAGATTTTTGGAGAGTTTTGCTAAGAATTATATTTAATAGCGTCTCAGATGGTGTTGGCACAAATCAGTGTTTATGATAAACAAAAGCAGCTTGATGCTACACATGCACAGGGTTGCATTAACCATAGACAGGGCCTGGAAGCAAAATAAAGTGCATGTGTCTACAGTTGAGCACTGGCTAGAGGTGGCACATTATTTGTTTTCCACCTGTACAAGTAGCTTTTATGTTTGGAAAGTTAATTTAAGGGCCAATGCAACTTATAATTGTCCATGTAATTAGTTATATTTAGCTTTTATATTTATAGTAAAAGTTCAGATGGTAATACAAGTTTAGTTAAATTTTTCTGAGTGAAACAGCATTTAATTGGTCACATTGTAAGTCATTTAATCACTTAGTCACTGGTATGGATCAGTTTAAACATTTTGAGACTTCTTGGTTTGGTTGATTTCAGTTTAGCCATAGTCATGCACTATTGATTTTGTGTTTTTTCTTGTAAAAGCAGTTCCACCAATGTTATGGTAATAAAAAACAGAAATTGATTTTTTTTTAAGTATGTGATCTGAGGAAAACAAATGCACACAAACAGAAGAGATTTTTTAAGCCCCGAGAAGGTATAAATATCTAAAACTACCATACTGTAATTTGAACTATTTTGATTTTTAAAGTTAAATTTCTGATTTGATAAATGTATTTCCTGGATTGTAATGTTCACTGTTCTTCTTTTTTTTTCTTTTAAACATTTTATACCATTTTAAACTTATTATATTTCAGATTTGTTTTGCTGGTTAAATGTGTAACAGGCATACTGATGAACATAAGCATATAATAACTTCAAGAATTTAAATGATCTCACAATTCAGCCTTTAAGTATCCTACACCCCAACGTTACATGTATAAATGGTAATTAGCTTAATGTGCGTCTGCCCTCTGCATACGGACAGATCCGGTGGGTGGACTTTTTCCATATGCTCGGCCGATGCATCGGCTACCCCCCACCAACTCACAGAAGATGCCTCGTCCTCAGCACCGCCTCGCTTTCCTTTTCCTTCTGCCACCCGGTCTCCATGATGATGTGAGCAATTGAGTTCAAGGAGATCTGGGTAATTGAGAGGGCAGGGATGGCATCTGACAGGCACCGATGGCTCCAATGATTACTTTAATCAGAGTGGTTAATGGAATTCCTTCAGGCATGTAGAAATGCTCAAATGTTCATCAGCACTGGACCGTTTTTTTCGTAGCCCCCCCCCCCCCGCCATCACCTTCTCTCTCACCTAATGCTGCCATAATTACTGATCAGTTTTCTTTCCTCTTGATGCCTTCACTCTCTGCTCACCCTCTCAGCATCTGTGGTGTGTTTGTTCCTGTGGCCTTAAGTCCATGCTGGGAATCATTATTTGAACTGGACAGCTTTATAGGCAAAATGCATTATGGATGTAATGTTTTAGCATGAAATGTCATGGCAAAGCTCTTACCATGAAAAGGGACAGTCAAGGACTCAATCACAGTAAAATCTGTACAAAGACAAGCATGCACTCTCATAAACGGGAAGCACTTTAGGTTCAAGTGTAATTAAAGTATTCATTTATTTAATACTCATTTTACTAAGAAAGGGATAAGGAGAAAATGTAAATCTTTTGTTTTTCATCCAGAAAAAAAAAATTGTTTATGTTCTATTTCTAGAAATGTCTGTCTTTTCTGTGATTTGAATAGGAAAAAATATATATGGGGAAGTTGAGTATCAATCAATTAAACCTGTTTGAGGCTACTCTTTTTAAATTCTTATGAAAGCGTTTGTGTAAAAATATTCTATGTTGGTAATCTGGACTTTGATTTGAATGCATTTTAGATCCATTGTGGTCAGCCACTACAGAAACAATTACCATACGTGGACTGCATCAAATCTGTTTGGCATTCATTTGATTATTTTACATGAGAGAGCATACATTCTTGGATAGCCAGGGAATACTA